TGTTTTCCAGGTACCGTGGGAACCCTGCCCACCTTCTAAAACTATTAAGGATGCTTCCTTTCCCCATGGATGTGCCCATATATCTAGCCCAAGACTCTTTCTATCTACCCTCCCTCCAATCCTACACCCAACCCCTTTTCTGATTATTTTCTCCAAATCCATCCGTCAGTTCATTACCCTGCTGGAGCCTCCGGAGCTCCCTCCCAGCCGGAGGTTGTTGTAGGCCAGATGGCTGTAAGGGTTGTATCCCACAAACCCTGGGGCGGTAGGCAATTGCTGATGGAAGACAAATGAGACAAAACACGAATGAGAAATGGTTCACAAACAAGAGGAGGAAGAGGGATAAACACAAATAAGTGAAAACGGGAAAAACATGAAAATATAAATGTATTGTTTTGCTCGTTTGTTTTCCATGAGGTAGAACCAAGTCAGGCAACATGGGAAAGTTGCATGTACCAAGCAACAAGCTCCCATAGCCCCCACGAGTTTCATTATATAAGCCATGTAACTGAGACATTGAATTTCAACTTTAAAACAGTAATGTGCCTCTTACTAAATGCAAGGAAATTAAAGCATCACAACAACCATGATGACTCTAAAACTGTACACATGTACTCATCCTAAATATCTCAAATTTGATTTTATTCGAAATACCCCATGAGGCACAATAACCTCTTCTTCAAAAGCCTTTTTTTTTTTTTTTTAAATGGTAGTAAGAGAGGAAAAACAGGAGTGAGTGTGAAGATGGAGAGCTGAACTGCTTGGTGGACACCTCTTTGTGTTCAGACAGAGAAAGAAAGAAAATGAAAGCATTGTAAAGGAAATTGTGGATAGAGAAGGCGTACAGCGGCGAGAAAGAAAACAAGATAATGTGTGTGGCTAACATGGCCCTTTGGCCACTGAACGTTACAAGCTGAGAGGGGGACACTTACTGTGGTGGGAGCAGGGGGAGGGGGAGGGGCGTAGGATGGTCGCTCTGTGTGTGAAAGAAAAAATAAATGTCAAAACTTGGTGTGTATTAAGCATTTAAAAGGCTTTTGTCAATATATGCATACATTTTTTGTATTCATATTTTTTATTATTTTGAAAGCCAAAAAAGCTGGATATCTTAAAGCATATTACATTTTGATATCAATTAAACAATATCAGTTTTTAAACCTGCATAACATAGCTCTCCACTTCTGATACATTGCACATATTTTTAATTTAGGTATTTTATTTTTATCTCTTCATTTCTTTATGTAATATAATTGTTTTTCTTATTTACTATTCTTCTCCTTCTCTTACAACCTAATTCATCCTACTGTTTTAATGCACCATCAACACCAAAGCAAATTGCAATTTTAAACCTACAGCAATAAAAGTTATTGTGGGATACACCCCTTTAAATGAAACCATCAGGAGTGGAAACGGCACTCAGGTCCTTTACTTGAGTAAAAGTAGAAATACTATGGTCTTAAAATACTCCGTTAAAAGTAGAAGACTTTAGTGTGAAATGTTACTTAAGTAGAAGTAAGTAATATCAGCTATACATACTTACAGTTTCAAAAGTCCTCAATATGAATAATGGCACGTTTCACAATATACATAATAATATACAGTATATCATCCCGTTTTAAATCACTAACAAAAACATATGGGACATTTACATTTTGTAGTTTGACAATGTGGAGCTAATTTTATATACTTAAAATAAAAATACTGATTTGTAATTGTGTATATTGGTAGTGCAGTACTTAGAGATGTCCCGATCCGATCACGTGATATTAAAAAGTTAATAATGTGAGTGTTAAATTAATGTAGTGGAGTTAAAGTATAAACGTGTAGGGGTAGAAGTATAAAGAAGGATACAATGGAACTACTCAAGTAAGGTACAAGTATGTCAAAATAGTACTTGAGTAATTGTTACTTTCCAACACTGGAAACCATTGATAGCAGCCTTTCTGTGGTTTTTGGTATAATTGTGTTGGTTATTTACAAACAATAACATACCAGCTCTCATAATATCAACAACAATTAACTTAACATTAGTTTGTTCTTTATAATGTGTGTTTACTTACTTGACATCGTGGCTGCAGACGGGGCTAAGTAGAGGAGGCTATTTTCATATTTGTTAACCTGGAGAAGGAAACAAAGTAAAAGGGAAACTACCCACATTATTAGATGCACTATACACGGGAAAATACCCACATTATTAGATGCACTATACACTCTTCGCAGCGACTCGTTTAGCACATTAAGAAGCAAGAAAAACATCGGCAAAACGTATTCAACGTAACGATGATAACAATGCATGATTACAATGGCTGACGAGACAACCAGAGATAGCTTAACCGGCTCGGCCTATTAGCCAAACCTGCTAACTCAAAGAGAACATTTGCCCCAATAGATTTCAAAGCAATTCAGTACGCCAGAAAAGGACACAGTACACAACACAGGCGTTTATGCACAGGCTCTTTCACTGAAAAAGTGTGCAGCGTTTGCAAGATATTTGAATTAGCCCTGCTAGGCTAGGCTAATGAACACTACACGCTAACGTTACCGCTAACGTACATAGGGGTAAATAAGCTACCATTATTAGCTTATTAACGAATGGTAAATAAACATATTTGAATATGTTGCACACCTTTTTCACACTTTTATAAAAGTGTTGTATTTGAAATGCATTATGTTGAAAACAGACGTAAACATACTCACTCAATCGTCCTTTGTTCCCTCCGTCGGCCAGCTTGTTCCGCCCTCCACACACAAATCGGAAGGGCTAACTCTGTTCTTGCCGGCGGAAAAAGGATGTTTTCAGAATAAAGCGTAGTTACTTCAGTTTCAAACCATACAGTTTATGCATATTTTTTATTGATAAAATAATACTAGGTTACTAAATCAGCTTTACTTAGGTTGTTGGTGCGGAACTGGGTCGTGTGTGTGAATAGATAAATGTTTGCATTAAGTTCTATGGATAGCCTACATCTCTCAACAACACCCATATAACAGAACTGTACACAGATTTTCTTTTTCTTTATGGATATTTTACAAATCACTCCCTTTTTAAACTGTATTCTTGTTTTACTGTCATATAGTATTTCATAACTGTTTTTCATTTATTCTCATAAATGGTGACCAAACCGTTTGAGACCGACTGAGATAACTAGACTAAAGTTAACTATCTAAATACTGAGAGAGCATAGCTGTGGGAACATGTTTCAAGTGCTGGGGGGATGACACCAGGGCCGGTTCTGACCAATTTGCTGCCCTAGGCAAGATTTTAGCTGGCAATGAAAAACCTCTACAAAAGACCAATACACTACAAAAAGAGAAACGCATTGATATGGTGGACAGTTTATATAAAAAGGCTTCAAATGTATTTAGTATTGCATGAACATGTTGTAATTGGGGGGTGGACTTCACATCCTCTCAGGGGGTCCAGGGGTGGACCCCCGCGAAGATTTGTTTTAACATTTTAAAGTAAAATGCTTCAATCTAGTGCACTTTGAGCGCCCAATTACAGACTGATCTAGGGGTACAACTCTAAACATAAATCGGTTTGCATTTTATTAATCAAATAAGTATGTGAACATTTCCAATAACCTACCATAGCCAATAACAAATAAATGTAGGCTGACTTATTTTATTTTTGTGGGTTATTTATATCTTATTTTACCAGTTAACATTTATTTATTTATGCATATTTTTAAATCTCTCCAGTTTTAAACAGTATTTTTGGTTTACTGTCCTATAGTATACATTGGAATGCTTTCAAACCTGTTTTTATTTATCCTAACAAAAAGGAGTGCCTTGGAAATATTTGTTTACATAAATTGTGATCAAAACGTTTGAGACCCACTGAGACAACTTAGACTAAAGTGAACTATTCTAAACCCTCAGAGTCCTTTACTTCACCTGAGCCTTACCTGAGCCTCTCAATCTGACAGGACAGAACTCTCCCTCCACATTATTGTAGAAATAACGTTATGCTGCTTGTACTAATTAGACTTATCATATAAGCCACACAGGTTTTAATAGGATGTATTCATTATCTTTACTTATGTTGCGGTCTTTTCAGCAGCGCCATCTCTAAAACGGCGATACAGTCACTACCCATCATTTACATTTCACCGTGACATGGACAAAAATGTAACGTCAGCTTACCTCATGGCACGAATCCAGACTCTCCTTTGGAAAACATTGGCCGGGAAACGATAGAACAAGCACGTTTCATGCGAAGACCTGTTGCTGCAAAGCAACAAACCATTGCGTAGCTAACTAGTAGCGCTAGCTTTAGCTAGCTTTAGCTAACGTTAGCTAACGAAACGAACTGCCGAGTAAAATTGGAAAACACTGGTAATTAATTATTCTATAATTTGTAAAACTACGGTGTTAAAAACGACAATTTCAAAAATACAGATTCTAATGGTCAGATATAGATATACAGATACTAAAGATAGGCATGAACTTGCTTTCAAGCAGAACACAGGGGAAAACAAACTTAGCGGGAGTGTTTACGTGTTAGGCGTAATGACGTACAACGGCCTCGATAATTTCTGTTGTCCTATTCAGCCACTCGGTAACAACCCTCGTTTTTCA